ATGAAAAAGACAAATAACCCAGTTAAAAAATTGGCACAGGACACGAACAGACACTTCACCAAGGAAGAGATCTGGGCAGTCAACAAACATACGAAGAAATGTTCACGATCACTAGCCATTAGAGAGACGCAAATCGAAACAACAATGAGATATCATCTCACACCAGCAATAACAGCAAAAATAAAAAAAGTAGAGGACAATAAATGTTGGTGGGGATGTGGTGAGACTGGGACGCTCCTACATTGTTGGTGGGATTGCATAATGGTCCAACCATTATGGAAAGCAATATGGTGCTTCCTCAGAAGGTTGGAAATAGAAATACCTTATGATCCAGCAAATTCCTCTACTTGGTATTTACCCACAAGAAATACGAGCCATAACTCGAGTAGATATATGCACACCAATGTTCACAGCAGCACTATTTACAATAACAAAAAGATGGAGACAGCCTGAATGCCTATCAATGGAAGAATGGATAAACAAATGTGGTACATACATACAATGGAATATATGCTACCTTCAAGAATAACAAGAAAGGTGCAAGCCACTGCATAACATGGAACCTTGTGGACATTCTGATGAGTGAAATTAGTCAATGACAAAAGAAGAAATACTGCATGGGACCATTATTGTGAAAGATTAAGAAAAAGAACCCACTCTGAAAGGAAAAAAAAAAAATTTGCTGATCACCAGGATGTATAGGATGAAGTGACAGGAGGGAGGGGAAGATGGAACACAGGGCAGAGGGTAGGGATAGACACAGGATAGCTTGGGTGCTGGGGGTGGGGTGGGGCAATATATAAGAGAGAGGGGAATGGAAGAACAAGGCGGGTGGGAGAACAGTTAGGCAGCTTTACATGGGCTAAGTGGGACAGAGGAAAATAATGATGTATGCACAAACCTGGAACAACATGGCTCTGGGATACAGCGATTGAGGCATGGTTTGAATGGGTAAAAGAGGGGAAATAATAATAAAATGCTTGGCTGTCTTTCGAATCCTGGTTTCCCTCGCCTACCATTATAAAATAGACACTGGAGGGGGAGAGAAATGAGTAGCCAGAAATACCACAATAGAAAGCTTTTCAGTCCATCTTCAGCCTATAACTGATTGGAATACCTTAAAGGGGTATTCCAGTGAAGAAGGCTTCCTGCGGAGCCTTTGCATTGCATAAGACCATAGGTAGAATCCTGAACCCCATCCAGAATCTTCTGAGGTGGGAAATTTCCACTTGAAAGGACAAGTTGTCTAGCCTGGAGTGGCTAGAAGAACAGAAGATACTTTGTGAAAGAAAGACCAGTAGGAAAAATAAAAACTGTAACAGTAGTCTGACAACGACAAGAAAAGCAACCTGTTCGCCTGGGAGCCATCAAGGCAAGTGGTCGGGTCTCCTCAGAGCAAAGCCCCTTCGAAGATGAAGACTCAAGGGGAATACATGAGCAGTCATATGGTCTGGCTGGTGACCACATTGGTCATCGATAAGGGGAAGTGGGGGAAAAACAGCAATGAAGTTGTGAGCTAAGTCCGACCACATTCAATAGACTCTTGTCAACCCGGGTTGAGACCTGATTGGCCAGCAGTATGGCAAGACCCGAAGACTTCTGGGCCCAGAGACAGTGACACAAGAGTGGAGAGCAAAGCGTCCAGCTGATATGAAATAAGGGGAGATGCACAAGAATACCCACACTTGCAGATAGTACTCACTTGACGTGGCTTCAATGGGTGGATGATCAGAACTTGACTAGAAGAAGAAAGAAGAGGAGAAAAAGAGTAATCCACTACAATCTGATGAACTTTACCTATATTTATGGATGCAGGAGCTCAAAATAGGGAATGATTCTTTACAGTGAGGATCGTTTCCACTCCCTCGGTACACAGGTTTGACAGGGATGGGCAACTTAGACACTGGCTATCCAAAATGGGGAGCCCTGGTGTGGCGCTGTGGGTTAATGAGCCAGACTGCAAAGCCATTTGAACTCCAAGGTCAGCAGTTCAAGTTCACCAGCTGTTCCTCGGAAACCCTATACAGGGTTGCTATGGGTCAGAATCGACTCGATGGCACTTAACAACAACCCAAAATGGGGGGCTACAAAGGCAAGAAGTGACTGGCTTACAAGCTTTCAGGAGGGAGCCTAGATCCAGAGGGGGTGGGGGAAGGTAGAATCTCCACTGTGTGGTTTCCAATCTGTTGGGACGGGGCTGATGAAAGCAGATGGGGATAAGACTCTTGTAGTACAATAGTGAATAATTGTTATCAGGGCTGTCTGTGAGGGTCAGAAATGTAAAGGCAGATGTTCTGCAACAAAAGGAGGGGAGTGATTGATTTTGCAGTCCAGGAGCAGAGGCCCCTGGGACCATCAAGTGAGAAGAGCGGAGTGCGGGACCCTACCCAGAGAAGCAGTGACGCCAGAAATGGAGGCAGAGACATGATGATGACATGGAGAGATGGAACAGCCGGGGACTCTGGACTCAGGGAGGGAGAGGGGCTGTGTGCTGATGGCCAGAGGCAAGGCTTGCGGGGTGTACCCTTTGGTTGCATGGAGGGGATTATAATCATTGCAATGAAATGAAATACGATGGGATGAATGTAAGGCTGGTGTTCTCCCATGTAAAGTATCACATAATTCACAATAAAAACTTTTTTTTAAAAAAGTTAATTTGTTTGAAACAAATGCACAATTTCTAACAAAAAGGTTTGAATTCCACAGCTAAGGGGCATTTCAGCAATGTCTACCAATTCACATTTCTGGTGTGGTGCTGTAAGATAAGCACTGGGCTGCATGACCACAAGGTCAGTGGTTCAAACCCACCAGCAGCTCCCTGAAAATCCTATAACTGTACAGGGATGCTATGAGTCAGTATTGACTTGATGGCATTTAACAACAAGAATAACATTTATACAAGCTGAACTATGAGAATGTTGAATTAATTTCTCATCTATGTATTGTCTAGTAAGGAAAAAGGAAGGATAAAAAGAAACTGATAAATGACATATTTACAAGATATCAATCTTCCCTTGCAGTCCAATTGTTGTGAGTTAATGCACTAGACTGCAAAGTTGGTTTGAACTGCAAGGTTAGAAGTTCAAGTTCAACAGCTGCTCTTAGGAAACCCTATACAGAGTTGCTATGGGTCAGAACCAACTCAAAGGCACTTAACAACAACAAAATGAAAGCATTTAGCAAAACGAATGGGACTACAGGTAAAAGCAACAATCAGAATACTTACAGCAGATCCTTTGACAAGGAAAAAAACACTTAAGATTTCCATCTATGGAAGGATCATGGATACAAAAGATATCTATTTCCATTCTAATTTTTTTCTCTATATAGTTACTTTCATTTTGTCCATAATAAAACTCAATATGCCTGTCTTTTTTTGGAAAATATAACTCCCATTCTTTTCTTCTTAACGAGCCAAGAAATATGCTTCCCCATTAACTTTTAGTCATTTACATTCTATATACACAGGTGAATCATTCTGAAACTAGCCTACACCTTACTTTCATAGACTATGTTTATACCATCTCTTTCTGTTTTCCCTAGGGCAGTATTCTATTCAAACCCCATGTATAAAAGACCCATATATGCAAACAGATCCAGGGGCTATTATAGCCTGAGTTCCTCCCTATCTTCTAATCACTATGCCACATCTCTGCCTTCCCCTCTACCCACACAAAGACAGCTGGGTCACTGGTTACATGTGGAAATGCCAAGCTACAGGCATAGAAAAGGCCCTTTGCAACAACACTGTTGGAACTATGTGTGTGGTACGGGTAAGGGAGCATAAGGAGGGGGGGAGAAAGAATGTAAAGAAAATGTGTTCCTAATGATCTTTTTCCTGTTAAAGATTATATTTTATCTGACAATCTTTATCAGTTATGCCATTCATTCCAGACTTTCTTGAGTAGGCTTAGAAATGTACTTCACAAAAATTAATAAAAACAAAATTTTAGATTATAGTCTATTTGAAGTCAGGTTCTAACTGGAAGTATGTACCAAAATTGTATTGGTAAATTACTGCTGGAGATGAAATTGAGATTTTCAGGAAGTTAAACGCTTCTCAATTTTATGGTAAGTAAAAGGAAAAGAACCAGTTAATTTTTTGTTAAAACTTGTCTTGTTGATATATGAGTCTCCATTATCTAATTTGTAGCTAATCGCTCATACTCTGTCGACAAAACAATACTAACCATTTCCAGCCTCATCTCAGAAATAAATTTTGATTAACTAAAATGCAACAGGTGTCCAGTTTCTGACTTCAGTTTTTAAGCAGTAAAGAAATACTTGCTTTCTTTTTTAACATGACTCATTCTGGGAGAGTTCTGACCTCTCAGAGAAGACTAAGCTCCAACCTCCTTAAGATTAAACTGCTCTGAAAGTTTTATAGTTAGTTAGAAAGACCTATAATTTTTAGAAGTCTGTTTCTTTCTTAAGATATCAAAAGTTCCATTTAAGTAAGTACTCTTCCCCCCCAAAGTAAAATTTCTAAGTTCTTTTTGACAAAAAATAACATAAAGTAAGAACATGCCTTCTTTTTCTTAGGAACCCTGAGAAATAAGCAAGGTTAACAGTTGAGCACATATTCTTCTAGATTTATAGAAAAATATAAACATATTACATACGATTTCGAATCAACACAGGTATGCAAAGGAGTCTGGGTGGCTCAAGCAATTAGCAGTTTGAACCCACGCAAACTGTGCTATACTTTCTTCAAATAAAACATGACTTTGTTGTTGCTTTGAATTGACATTGAACTGGTCCGCGACTCATGGTAAATTGATGTGTAACAGAACAAAAAGCTGCCTACTCCTGCACCATCTCCACGATTGCTAGTATGATGTGGCCAAGGTGCAGCCATCTCAGTTAGGGAGATGGTGACCTACTACCAAACAAAATGTCTAAAGAGAAAATCATGATGCTGCTTGGGTTAAGCAGCAAACAAACTCCATTCACTCCTATATTCAGCCCTCAGTAAAATTTTTGGCTACAAATTTACTTACTTCACAGGGGCTCGAGCATAAACCTGAAGCCAGTCAGGAATTTCCGCAGTATGATATGGATTTGCAGGTACCAGAAGGGATTGATTCCTTTCAGTTTGCTGTGGCTGGTATGTGACAGGAGGTGGTTGATCATACCGAGGTACACTATAAAAAAAGGATTGACAATCACTAAGCTAATGAAGAAATTATGAAGAAAAACAATCTTTACATTTGCTTCAATGTGTCTCCTGTCCTAATCGATTCTTTTCCACCACCGAGAGATAACTTCCTAAAAGCTATGGCTTTCTTTACCATTCTATTCATAAAATGCACATTCACTTGGAAATTGGTCCCTAATGATGGACATAAACCTAAGTCAAACCTTTACGTTTATTTATGAGATTTCTTCTGGCTGATATATATTCTTTCCAAGGACAGCTTCAAAGGGGGCTATAAAAAAGTTGGAGCTAACTTGTACCCTTTACTTGTTGTTGTTGTTGTTAGGTGCCATCGAGTCGGTACCGACCCATAGCGACCTTATGCACAGCAGAACAAAACACTGCCTGATCCTGGGCCAACCCTCACTATTGTTGCCATACTTGAGTCCATCAATGCTGCCACTTGGCCAATCCATGTAGTTGGGGGTCTTCCTCTTTCTCTCTGATCCTCAACTTTACCAAACATGATATCCTTCTCCAGTGACTGGTCTCTCCTGACAATATGTCCGAAGTATGAGACATGAAGTTTCGCCATCTTTGGCCTCCAAGGAATACTCTTGGCTGCGCTTCTTCCAAAACACATCTATTGGTTCTTTTGGCAGCCCGTGGCACTTTCAATATTCTCCTCCAACACCATAACTCAAAAGCATCAGTTCTTCTAAGGGTCTTCCTTATTCACTATCCAGCTTTTGCATGCACGAGAGGTTACTGAAAATACCATGGCTTGGGGGTGCACCTTAGTCCTCAAGCTAACATCTTTGCTCTTCAACACTTTAAAAAGGTCTTGTACACATTTGCCTAATGCAATACATCATCTGATTTCTTGACTGCTGCTTCCATGAGTATAGATAGTTGATCCACAAAGAATGAAATCCTTGACAACTTCAATCTTTTCTCCGTTGATAAGAATGTTGTTTAATGGTCTAGTGGAGAGGATTTTTGTTTTCTTGACATTGAGATGTAATCCATACCAAAAGCTATGCTCTTTGATCTTCATCAGTAAATGTTTTAAGTCCTTTTCACTTTCATCAAGCAAGGTTGTATCATCTGCATATTACAAGTGGTTAATGGGTCTTCCTTCAATCCTGATGCCATGTTTTTCTTCATATAACCCAGCATCTCAGATTATTTGCTCAGCACACAGGCTGAATAAGTATGGTGAAAGAATACAACCTTGTCGCACACCTTTTTAAATTTTAAACCATTCAGTGTTCCCATGTTCAGTTTGAACAACTGCTTCTTAGTCCACGTACAGATAAGGTTCAAAATTACTACTATAAAAAGTTCAGTTAATAACTAGTAGTTAGCTATCAAATCATCATGGAAGGTTGATAGCTTCTCTCTTAAAAGGAGAATGATGTTTCTTCCCTCCTTTAGAACAAAGAAGGAGGTCTGGCGGTGCTATAGGCCAAGCATTTAGCTGTCAGCCACAAGGTTAATGGCTCAAACCCATCAGCCACTTTGGGGGAAAAGAAAGCTGAGATTATCCATTTCCAAGAGTCTTGAAAATCCTATAGAGCAGTTATAGTCTGTCCTATAGGGTTGTTGAGTCAGAATCAACTCACCAGCAGTGGATGGTGGATTAGACTGAAAAGGGGCCTGGGGAAAGGCAACGCAGTGTGTTGACTATCATCCTTAAAATACCCATATTAAACTGTACGATTTTCTTTTTACTTTGACCACCTTAAGAGAGCAAGTGGGGAGAGATTCCAAAACTAAACCCACTGGCATCGAGTGTATTCTGACTCAGTGACCATATAGAACAAAGTAGAATCGCCTCCACAGGGTTTCCAAGGCTGCAATCTTTATGGAAGAGGGCTGTCACGTTTTTATCCAGAGTGGTAGGTGGGTTCAAACCCCCAACCTTTTGATTAGCAGGCAAGCATTTAAACCACTGCACCACTAGGCCAGGGCTCCTTTATTACCTGTTTTAATCATAATAAGGCTTTAAAGAAAAGGCCATGCTTTTAAATAGTTAAATAATACACGTCTATGTATATTGGGAGGTTGAGAAGGGGAAGTCACAAAAGGGGGGGGGGGGGGGGGGGGGGGAAGAGAGGCAAATTTTATGGGAAAATACTAAAGAAGAATGAAAGCACCTGATAAAAAGCCAAAATGATCTATTCCAGACTTATAGACAAAACTGGAAGGATTCTCCCTTCAAAAATATAGATTTATAAGTAAATCAGAAAAGAGTACCATAATACTCTGCTGAGATTAAAATAAAGGTTACATACAGTAGACTATAGTGAACAATTTAAAGATCATTATGTAGATGGCACTGAATTTTATTTCCAACTTTTCTTTTACCAGTAAGCTCAAAATGAACTTCTTTGATAGCTCAACGGGGAAGGATTCAGACTTTACACTTTTTTTTTTTTCAGAATTTACACTTTTAAGACTGCATTATTTTCTGCTTTGAAGTTTTTGTTGAAATTACATGTATGTAGTACTGTTGGATGAAACGAAAAGTTTTTTGAGGTAAGACGGACTTGAATATAATTATGTCTCTGATGCTGGGGTTGGTGAAATAAAGTCCATTTCTTCAGATTCATGAAGTTATACAGGCCTTCACCAGACGGCAGCATGCACTAAAAGTGGGATAACAGTTTCCCACCAAATCCCAGAAGTGGAAAATGTAGGTGGGCAACTATACATCCCATAGGTCAAAGGGTTGCAATCAGATATGCTTCAGTTTTAAACTCGGTTTGGCCACTTACTAGTTGTATAAGTGTAGGCAAAATTTCTTGACTTCTGTAAGATTCAGCATTCTGATTTGTAAAGGTAGAATAAGAAATTCATACCACAGACGGTTTTACACAGAATTAATGAGCTAATGAGACTTTCTGCTACCATAAAGATTTACAACTGTGGAAATCCTATAAAAGGTTGTTACACGTCAGAGCTGACTCAACAGTACATAATACCAACAACATGTGCCAAGAGTTTTGTATAAGAATTGGGATAATATAGACAGACACTCAAGCAGCTTTGAATACTAATTAGGCAAGCTTAGGAAAGAAGCAAATTAATACACTGAAAACTTTTGGTAAACTATAAATATTCTGTAATATTGCAAGGATAATGATGAACAGAAAAGTAAGTTCAATGTACTTTCAAATTTGGCTGACAAGATCAGGAATACCTCTGCCACCTGGAACATAAAATCTTAAAACACAGATCTGGTTGCTGGGAAGAAAAGACAATCTCAACTGTTCAATTAACACTGACTGAATGCCACTAGGGAAAAAAAAAAACTTTTAAAATTGAACTAGCAGATACAAGTATGTAAGATAATTAAAGCAGCACAATTTAAAAAAACAACAACTTAGTTTTCTAGGTTGTAATATTAAAATGTGCTTTCATGATGATTGTAACAGTTTTAAAACTATAATTTGTATACCTAAATATCTGTATTATGTCATATGATACACAGCAACATCTATCAACAAGATACTCATACTTCACTCATTTTCATCTTAAGACTCAGTTCTTGAAGCCCAAACGTAATTAATTTAAAACATTTACAATTTTGCTCCTAAGTTAATACTAGCTTTTTTTGGTATTTTGAAATCTGATGTGTAATTTACATTTAAAAGGTATCTCAATTTGGACTAATTACTTCTCAAGTACCTAGCTGGCTAAAGTATTAATTAAGATGGTACAGGGCTAGATGTCTGATCACTAACAACAACTATTGATAAACCCAGTATTTCACAAAATAGCCCAAAGGATCACTGGCTATGTGTATTACAGATCTGGGACACTCAGTCTACTCCAATTTCTGCTTTCTTATTCTGCAACATAAAATATGTCTGGAAAATTTATGTCAGGAATTGAATAAAAACAGCAAGGAGAGTAGGTCTACATTATTAATAAGAATTCAATTGTGAAAAGGCAGATGCATTATTTTATTTCAATTTCTGAGTATTTATGGCAAAAACATTCTGACATATGAAAGAATCTGATCACAAGAACAATCATCTTGTTTTTGAGGGTTTTTTTTTTTTTTTTTTTAAACAAAGGCTTTTTCCCCTTTAAATTATTAAAGTCATATGCTACTAAGTATAAGTCTAGAAGAAAATGTCGAAAACATTAAACAGTTTAGATGCTCAAACCTCAAACTGCAAGATGCCTTTCTCTTGCTGACAATATCTGAGTCCAAAATCTAACATTAGACAATCTCTAAACAATAAGTTGAAAATACAGTTTCTACTCTACCTAGGCGCACAGGGATGCCTGTATTGAGCCTTCTTATTTACGTGGTCTACATAGTAGGTTCCAAATTCTGATGACTCAACTCGTTCCCATCCTGGAGGAAGTCCCTCCCGTTCAAGAGGGTGGCTCCAATGAGTTGTATTTGTATTATGATCTATATAATATTTTCTTCCTCTCATTGTCCAGTCCACAGACCAGCCAGGAGGAAGGGGTAAATCTTCAGAACCATGATTAGTTAAATTTCCTAGAGATGTAGCAGCAACTCTCCCAATACCTGAGGAGAAACAAAAGAAAAGGGAAGAAATTATGTCACTATGAAAAAAACACAGCCAGTATTACTATGACTATGATTTAATTATACAAAGGGGGAGGAGCTAGTCTTTAAAAGCATTTTTCCTTTTCTTTGTTTCAACTGATGCCTCCCTCCATCAGGCTATAAAATATTTAACTAGTAGTTACTTACTTACTAGTAAAATATTTACTAGTAGTTACAGGACTTCTGGTGTGGCACCATAGGATAAGCACTGGACTGCTAACCTCAAGGTCACCGGTTCAAACCCACCAGCTGCTCCTTAGAAACCTTATACAGGGTTGCTGAGTTGGAACCAACTCAACAACATTTAACAACGACAACAACAATAATAAAGAATGAATATGATTCCTAATCATCTTTACTTAATATAACCTAGATACAGCCTTGGTGCAATATCCAGGTTAAATTAAATGAAAACACCAAAATATGAATAATCTGACCAGAATATTATCTTGATATTTGTTCTTGAGAGCTATCAAGCTAATTTTGACTCACAGTGACCCCATGTGACAGAGCAAAATTGCCACATAAGGTTTTCTTGGCTGTAATCTTTGTGGAATCTGAGGACCAGATAAGTCTTCCTCCTATGATGAGGCGTTCTGCTCCCGTAAAGATTTACAGCCTCGGAAACCCTGTACAGGGTCGCTATGGGTCAGAACCGACTCGACGGCACTTAGCAACAACAAGAAGCAAGCAACAATGGAGCACTAGGTAGGTATGAACTGCCAACCTCTTTTTCATTTGTTTGTTAATTTTATTATTTCACAGAACCAACTTTTTTTTTCTTAAGTTTTTGTTGTGAATTGAGTAATAGTTTACATGGGAGAACATCAGTTTTACACTCATCCTACTGAATTTTGTATTTTGTTTCATTGCAAGGATTATAATCCCCTTCATGCATCATCATTCAACAATATTTGTTTCTATTCAGTTTTTTGTTTTGTGTGTGTGTGTGTGGGGGGGTGTACACAAAAATACTCAGGAATACATAATCATTTAGACAACCAAAGGGTACATTCTGCAAGCCTGCTTCCTGGCTGCCAGCACACAGCCTTTCTCTTTCCATGAGTCTAGAGTTCTCAGCTGCTCTCTTCTCTCTCCATCTCTGCCTCCATCTCTGGTGTCGCTGCTTCTCTGGATAAGGTCCCACATTCCTCTTGTGCTCTTCTCCCTTAATGGTCCTAGGATCCTGTTTCTGGACTGTAAGATTAACTACTCCCACCTTTTTGTTACAAAACTTCTACCTTTACATATTGAGAACTGCCAACCTTTTGGTTAGATGATGACAAAGCTCTTTTACAGATGTGGTAACCAGTCTGTAAAGTGGCCCTGACTCCCAGTGTCTCTTAGTATTCATACCCTAGTTTAACACCCTTAGTCTGTGTCACCAAAGCATTATGGCAGAAATGATGGCATGACACTTTTGAGATTAGGGTATACAAGAGACTGCCTCTTCTGTACCAGGTGAGCTCACTTCCTCTCTCCTGGATTACTCACTCTGGGGGAAAACAGCTGCCATGTTGTAAGAAGCCACATGGTAAAGAACTGAGGTCTACAGTCAACAGTCAATAAAGAACTTAAGCCTCTTTCTAAATGTCCCATGAGTGCATTTAAGAGTAGATCCTCCATTTCCAAAATCCTAGTGAAGGCTTCAGATAATTGCAGCCCCTTTTGAAGGCTTCTGGACTGCAACTTCATGAGATGCCCTGAGTTACAAACACTTGGCTAAGTTACTTATGAATTACAAATTCATAGCAATTGGGGAAATGTTTTTTGTTTCAACCCATAGTAACATAAAAATAATTAATACAATTCAAGGGAGTAAGTGAAAAAAGTATTGCTACAAAATCACACAAACTTTTTATGGCACCTTGAATTTACTTGATAGGGCTTTTATTCAAAGTCTTAATCCCTACCAAATAACTGAGTTGCTTGTTATTAAGTGCTGTCAAGTCAGTTCTGACTCATAGAGACCCTATATAGGGTTTCCAAGGAGCAGCTTTCAAATGGACATTGCAGTCCAGTGCATTAACCTGCAGCACCATACAAGGACTCCAAATAACTGGGTTGGTTGGTTGGTTGGTTATGTGCCGTGGAGTTGGTTCCAATTCATAGGGAACCTGTACAGGGTGTCCAAGGCTGTAAATCTTTACGGGAACAGATAGCCTCATCTTTCTCCTGCGGAACAGCTGGTAGTTTTAAACTGCTGACCTTGCGGTTCACAGCCCGATTCGTAACCACTACGCTACCAGAGCTCCTTAATAACTGGGTGGGACCATGCAAATAGGGTATATGCTAGATTAGTTAGTTTTGCCATCCTGCTAAGTTTAAAAGGAGCCATCTCAGAAGTAGGAAAAGACGATCCAAGGACCAGCAAGAAAAAAAGAGCATGAGTAGAGCAAGAGAGCCCTACCTAGAAAAACGGTGACAACAGAGGTGGCAGAGGTGGTGACATACAACAGCTGTAGACTTCCCGATCCATGGGCCCATGAACCAAAAGCTCAGTGCCGTGGCTTGCAGAATGTACCCTTAATGCATTTACAGACTGGCTAAAGGAGTTTTGTAACATTTGGCTGAGAAGCTCAAGACAAGAAGTACTGTGTGCCTACAGAATGACAAAGAAGAGGGGTTCCTAACCGGAGGACTGCTGCATCCTGAATTGTTTCAGATACTGAATTGTACCCTGTTAACTTTCCAAATAGATCCCATAATTATGAGTATTGCCTATGAGTTCTGTGTGGCTACTGCAATGGATTATTGAACCCAGATAAGAAGTAGAGTGCTGTGGAAGGTATTGTTGGTGCTAGAACAGGGTAAAGAAGGTTGGAATGTGGTGGTATGTCTGACCACTATGTCATAGACATTGGCCTTGGGCTGATTTTGAGTTTGATTCTCCTTCCCACTTGTGAAGACTGAGGAAGTTAGACATGGTCTCTTAGTCATTTTTACACCTTTACTAATCAAAAATAGCAAAATGTGACATATGGTTCCTTTACATAGCCTCCATCTAAGTCTGTACACTTCTGAAAGTAGTGTGTCCATTTCTCTAATCTCTCCCCAAAGAATTCTATGCTCTTCAATTTATACCCTGTCAAAAAGGCAATCCTTGAGAAACTCAAATCATGTTCCTTTTATACATTCTTTAAGTTTTATAATCAACTAGATGTCTTGAAAAGGTAAGATCAGGAATGTATAGAGTATATGGAGTAAATTCTTCCAGAAACTCCTGTTAGACAGACCTTTCTACCCTTGAAGAACAGAAGGTGAATTGTCATGAAGAAAAAACATTTCCTCACTGCAACTTTCCCAGCATTTTTCTCAAAAGAACAACTTTCACATTTCTTAAAACTTCTTCTAAATAATAGCTTAATACTAAGAAAATTGTATTCCCAAAAAATTTAAAAATCTAGAAGAAATGGACAAATTTCTAGAAGCACATAACCTACCTAACCTAACACAGACTAAAACAGAAAACTTGGAACAGGTCTATAACAAGAGAAGAAATTGATCAAGTCATTAAAAAACTCCCAATTTAAAAAAAAATCTAGGCCCAGATGACAATACCAGTGAATTCTACCAAACATTCAAAGAGCTGACACCAATTCTACCCAAACTATTCCAGAATATAGAAAAAGATGAAAAACTCTCAAATTCATTTTATGAAGCAAGCATAATTTCTATACTAAAACCAAGCAAAGACATTACTTAAAAAAAAAAAAAACAACTACAGACCAATATCCCTCTTGAACACAGATGTAAAAATTCTCAACAAACTCCTAGCCAACAGAATCCAGCAATGTATATAAAATAATAATAATAATAATAATAAATCATGACCAAGTGGGATTCATACCAAGTATGCAGGATGGTTCAATATTAGGGAGAAAAACCAACATAATCCACCACATAAATGAAACAAAGGGAAAAAAATATCAAATGATCTTATCAATTGATGCAAGAACACATTTGACAAAATTCAACACTCATTCCTGATAAAAACACTTAAATAGAAATAGAAGGGAAATTCCTGAACATAATTAAGAGGAAACCAACAGCCAGTGAGAAACTGAAACCATTCCCCTTGTAAACAGGAACCATACAAGGATAATTGAATAATTGTTATCATGACTAATTGTGACTGTCACAATTGTAAAGGTAGAAGATTTGTAACAAAAACAGGCGAGTGGTTAATCTTACAGTCCAGAAACAGAGGCTCCTAGGACCATCAAGGGAGAAGAGCACAAGCAGAATGAGGGACCTTATCCAGAGAAGCAGCAACGCCAAAGACGGAGGCAGAGAGAGCATGGAGAGAGGGAGCAGCTGAGGACTCTGAACTACAGGGAATGGATGCTGGCGGCCAGGAGTCAGGCTTGCAGAATGTGCCCTTTGGTTTTTTAAATTATTATATATTCCTGAGTATTTCTATGTACAATTCCCCCGCCCCAAAACAAAAAACAACAGAGGGAATAAAAGCAAATACTGTTGAATGATGATGCATGGAGGAGACTGTAATCATTGCCATGAAATGATGGTCTAAACCTGATGTTCTCCCATGTAAACTATCAGTCAGTTCACAATAAAATCCTTGAAACAAGAAATTAGCCTGCTATATTTGGCCAAACACTTAATTAAGTCACCCATAATATGGCTGGAATTGTGGTTGCCTTTGTAGGGCCAAACCAAATAATTTCAAGGGCCTTATGCAGCCTGCGGGCTTGCTGTTCCTCACCCCTGAACTATATGAAAGCAAATAGTCAACATTTGCTCAAAAGCAAAGATGAGAAGGCAAGCAGGGGAAGGTAAACAGAACAAGCAGAATGGAAATCATGAGAATGTTGATACATTTTGAAAACTAACCAATGTCATGGAAAAATTTGTATAAAAAACATTAAATAAGAACCTAAATTTGCTGTGTAAACTTTCACCTAAAACACAGTAAAATATTTTTCTAAAAGTTATAC